TGCAATGCAGGAGGCAGCTGCACTGGGCGCCTATGATGCACTACCCAGTGAAGATAAATGAAATGTTGGAGCCAACACCCTATGCTTATTCTATTCAATTCAAATGATACTTTGTAGTAGAAAATGAGTCAAATAAATTCTCTAAACAATGAATTCTTTATGTTTTTAAAAATAACTTCCATTGTCCGGTTTCCTGGTGTGTCCGGCTTTTGGGTAAAGTACGTTATATGCTGAATGCGGAGTTATCCAGTGATCCATCCGTATATTCAATCAACGACATGGATCTCGAAACCATCGTCCTACATAACAAGATGAAGCAGCTTGCACTCAAGCGGCAGAAGCGCACAAATATTCTAAAGATTGCAAGTTGGACACTTTATCATGGGTCCGAATTTAAAAGACTCATTGAAAGTATCATCATGCTTATCGATAACCTCGAAGATATTTTTCCCTCACGTGCACGACAAAATGAGCTGGTGCAGCAGGAAGCTGAGCAAGTGCAGAGTAGACAGGAACAGGAGCTGCTCAAGAATGCTATCAAGGACGTAGATAGCTTACTCCATTGCGCCACGGACTAGGTTCTTACTGCGCATCGTTTTTTAAATGTTAGGGTCAGAAATCAGGGTCGGGCTCTTAACGGGAACACAGTTGGTAATGGTTGGGAAGGGCCGCTGGTCGGACGGGGAAATGTGTATGATGGAGTGATAGTTGAGGATAAGGCGAGGGTGCACAATGGGAATCAGTATGGAGGAAAGAGTTTCTGGGAAGATTAGGCTCCATTCCTCAGTTCATGATTTTACAATTACCTGGAGTTATACAATGAAGTGTGTGCATCGCTGGAACGATGTTAGAAAAGCTCTTACTTTCGAACAATTAGACAGGTTGTGCAACAGCCACGGCGCTCCTGGGTGACTTTTTTTGGTGTGCCTCTGTCGGTCCCCCTTCGCATCGCCCTATGGGAGGAAAATAGGTTTAAGATAGGGTGAGAGTTGGGCTAGAGTAGAGGAAGGGGTCAAGGAGGAGTGGTCTTTTGTTTTTGAGAGCTAGAACGATGCAGATTGATGCAAACTCCACGAAAATACGGCGGGCGAGGGATTCTGAAACATAAGTAAAATTTCAACGGCCATCAAGCAGACATCGGGGCTAGAGTTACTTATCTATCATAAACCTTAGGGTATCATTACGATATCCTACGGCGGATGATGGCTTCAAATTATAGTGACATATATATTTATTGCCAACAGCGGAAAACGGGTTTGCTCATATGCTCCGGAACCCATAATTTTCTTTTCTTGGCCTACCATGGAACAATTTCCTTCATGAGATTACATCAATATGATGAGTTCCCAGTTCCCTCGTATGTAAGGATCGGATAGTCCCAGTGGGGGAAAATATAACTTGAATTGTCAACGAATGGATGTACATTCACAAAGGACTTCTTCAGCTACGAGTTCGAGATTTTTGCGAAGTATTCCACGGGAGAAAAAAAGGAAAGATAATGAGGAAATCTTCAGCAGCTTCCAACCGTGAGTGAGATTCTGGAGGAGCCTGGTATGGACATCATTCGATGGAAATGAGCAGCAAAAGTAACCCGCCGATGACAGTATTTGAATCTACGCCCTCAAAGAGGAACTGATTTTTAATTAATCGCCGTAACCACTTGGCTACATTGTCATTAACGAATTTCATTTAAGGTCTTCTGCTACTGGCAGGGAATAGAATGCACCGTTCTTGTGAGGAACCTGAGGATAGGGAATCACTGATCAGATTCAGATGTGCAGAGTGTCAGCGGTTGGACCCTAAATAACGCTTAAAGTCGTATATTATATTATCAGGTGTTACCGGGAATATCAAACTGGTAAGGCCCATACATATGGTTAATTTTTATATTCTATAATTCATGTTCGAAGAGTGCCAAATATCATGCTTCCTAGATCGCATCGTGTATCTGCCAGTGAGGCTGTGCAGGCTGTGCTCGGAGGCTGTGCTCGGAGGCTGTGCTCGGAGGCTGTGCTGCAGCTTGCACTTCCCCACAACGATGTCACTTCCCCACAAGATTACTTTTTGGAAGAAAGCATCTCGTAAAAAGGGGCCGGGTGAGATTGCAGAAGGAAGAGATTGGATAGCATCCACATTGCAAGTCACAAAGCTTACTATTGAAGCGGGCAACGTCATCCCGGGCATGGGTGGTCTCATTAAAGGCGCAGCTGGAGCCTTTGTTACTCTTCTTGAACCGGTCCAGGTAAGCATCTTAGCTGTCTCGATAGTTAAAAGCTATTTCAACGAGAGACAGCAAATGGGAAAGAACAAAGATGATTGCAAGCTCCTCATTACTAGTATTACCCAGGTGCTGGAAACAGTCAACAAAGAGCTGAAGACGATTCCTTTGCTAGAAGGCACCACGCTCGATACCCACTCAAAAGTCTGGTATAATCTAGAGAGGTAGTTCCTCGACATTCTGAAAAAGTAAATTCCTTATTTGTCTATGAGATCGTTGGAAAACACGAAGGAAAGATTGGTCAGGTTAAATTCCGAAAGCAGATTCTTCCCGCGATATCTACGAGCGAATAAGATTCGTTATATAATTTCGTCATATGAGACTGAGATGCAACGCCTGCAGATAATCTCTTAGTGAGCACATCCCCTTACTTAGAGTTCAACAACTAAACTTTTATAAAACTGGCTAATTCACTTGCTGTGTGCTCAGGTTATCGTCCAACACGGAGCAATATTTGTATTGTACTTGGACAAGAAGAAATCTGTGTGGGTTGATTATATCTGTTTCCTGGCAACATTTTTTATAAAATGTATACCATTATAGGACACATATTTCAAATCATGCTAGGAGATCCACAGCATATGCTCTCTGGTCAATCCACAACCTTCGACCAGGATGATCACAAGTGACATAGCAAGAACTGTATGTACTGCAGACCAGCAAGCAGTGGGAGCAAAGGTTTCATTGAAATCAACACCTGGACACTGACTGAATCCTTGAGCTGTGACACAAGCCTTGAAGCAATCAATAGCCCCATCTGGCAGATGTTTCACTTTAAATACCCAGTGTGACCCTATTGACTTTTGACCAGCGGGAAGGTATACAGGTGTCCAAGTCCCATTGACCTCATGGTTGGTCATTTCCTCTGCCATGGCCTTGTACCATTCCTCAGCATAGTCACTCTCAACAGCTTCTCGGTAGCTTCGTGGGTTTTTATCATGTGTGCCAACTTTTAGGGCATTGTGATGTGCCAAGTTGACTGCAATTTGGGTGTAACTGCCAAAATCCACCCCATTTTCAATGAATGCACATCCAGCAAGCATTAAGGCTTTGTCAGATGCCAGGTTGATGTCAAAATTGACTAGTTGCTCACTGTGTGTATCTGGCAGGCCAACAGTGATGTCCCACAAAGGGGCTCCTTGACAACAGGGCTTGGAGGCAGGGGAACAGCAGATGCAATGTTGGCAAGAGGCAAGACCTTCACTTTTTGATGTTCAATGGCTTTGTTGTATATGGCAGTAGAATCTGGTGTAGGTTTGTCTGCTTGAGAAGATTGTCAAGGTGCAAGGGGTGCCATGGCTGGAACTGGAGCTGGAGCTGGAGTGGGAGCAGGAGTGGGAGCAGGAGTGGGAGCAGGAGCAGGAGCAGGAGCAGGAGCATTGACCAATGATCAGGGTGCAGGTACCTCTAGAGCATCTGGTGCATCTGGAACTGCAGCTCCCACCAGTTTAGGTAGCAGATCACAGGGGTCATTGTTATTATATGGCTTATTATAAGATGGGCCAAAGTCACTTGGGTGTGAAGCTACAACATCAGTGGTCGAGGATTTTGTCACAATACCAGGGAATTCTGCTTCATTGAAGATTACATCTCTGGAGATGATGATCTTCTTTGTGAGCAGGTTGTAGATCATCCATCCAACATGGTTTGGAGGATATCCTACAAATGCTCTTGATTGTGTGGCCCTGGAGACTCTTGTGCTTGTCTCTCCCTATTAGAACATATGCTTGGCATCCATAGATGCAAAGATGGCTAATCTTTGGCTTACATCCTTTAAAATATTCATACAGAGTCATATCCATTGGCAGCACAGAAGCTGAACAGTGGTTGTGAACATGGTGATATACACTAAGTGCAAAAATCCAGAAGTTAGGTGGAAGATTTGCTTCAGTGTTCATAGAGATCATTGACTTGGAAATTGTCTGATTCATGTGTTCAGATACACCATTGGATTGAGGCGTTGCATGGGTGGTAAACTCAACTCAAATCCCTTCCTCTTCACAGAACTTGAGCAAAGCTTTGAGTGTGTACTCTCCACCTTCATCATTGTGGAAGCACTGAATGTGTTGCCCAGTTTGTTTCTCCACCAAAGCCTTAAACAACTCAAAAGATTTGAACAAGTCACTTTTTTTTGCTAGTCTGTATCCTTCAAGGAATCATGAGGCATCATCAATGAATTTCACCCAATATTTGTGACTGTAGAAACTTGCAACTGGCATTAGTCCATGCAAGTCACTGAATATTCAGTCGAGGATACCTGTTGAGCACTCAATGTTTGGGGAGAAAGGATGTCAGTGTTGTTTGCCATTGATGCATGCTTCACATACATCTAACAGTGGATCATTGGATTGGATGATGAGATCAGAGGCTAGGTCATGTTTGATTATCTGTTCTAGTCAAGCCTTTCCAATGTGGCATAAGTGTCAATGCATGAGTTCTTGGTTGATGACTGTTGCAAGAGCATGATTTGTCACATGGTTCATTGTAATGACCCATCCATTGAGGTAAGCTATCTTTCCAGAGGTAACAGTGGCAGTAAACATGAGAGTTTTTGCAATAAAGGATGATATTGTTTTGCCAATGATTGTAACCATGAAATGCCAAGTATTGATCTGACCAGTCATTATTTCTATTATTCATATTCTTTGCATTTGACCTATTCACTTTGTATTCATTCATTTAGACCTTTTCTGCATGGCTTTCATGTCCACTTCTGTTATTCTCATGTTGACTCCTTGTATGTTTTCCAACCAGATTTCTCTTATCTGTCTTATCTATGCCTCATATTTTCCTTATCTCACTTGCAACTCAGCTGATGTATTTGACCCTTCATTAATTACATTATATTCTCATTGGCTCTGCACAGCATATTATCACACCATCATATGCCAATTATGTTTTCCTGATTATCTCTGATTATCTAAACTCTCCATTATTTCTCCGCTTGATTAATTATATATAAATATGCTCATTTGTATCTACTTTTATTCAGTCAGAAATTGAATCATGTATTATCTGTTAACTCCTCTCTGTCTGCTTCTCTGCTCAGGTTCTGTTCCCACCCAGCTCCATACTTATATCTCACTTCCATCTTTAACTCTGAAGTAGGGACAACCTACAACTCAGCAGGGCACAACACATAAGTTGAAGCCAAGTCCCTTCAGTACAAGTCATTAACATTTCTGCATGGAAACATTGACTAGTTCCACACAGCTTACCAGGTGTATTCCATATCAGGATGTAACATGAAATTTCATTGTGAAGTCAGAGTGAGAACAGATAGTAGATTGTTTGAGAGACTAGGTACATGGAGTACATCTGATATCAAAATCAGGCACATGGGTTTTGTCTTTGCTGAGGGCTGGAAGTGAACTGTTCCCTTCCCTGCTGAATATATCACATTTCCATCAGCAAGATGAATAGGGATGTGCCATGGTATATAGTCAGATGTAATCCAGTCATGATGTGGAGTCATATGCACAGTGGCACCAGTATCTGCATTCCAGGATGTGTCAGCTGAAGGTACTGACAAGTTGGCTGATAGACAAACAGTGGCATCAGCTTTGACTGCAGGTTCATCACAGCCTTCTTTGACAATGGGTGTAGTTTTAGCAGCAGCAGCAGTCACGCTGTGCCCTACTCCATGTCCACCCTGCTTCTTCTTGGAGTTCCCACTTCTTCTGGTTCCAGCTTCCTTCCCAAGAGCTCATACATCATTGTATTTTGGACAGGCAGTCATGATGTGTGCACTGTCACAAATGTAACACTTGAGAACTCAAGCTGCTGTGGCAGCCTTGAAGTCATCTTGTGCTCCCTTGTGCTGAGTCTCCTCTGTATGGAAAGCTTCAAGCAGTGTCCTTTGAGAGGTTGATGAGAAGAAGAACTGATGATATGAATGAGGCATAATCTTCACATGGAAGAGCATGGATCATCATCATTATCACCAGCTCCTCATCAAACTTCTCAATATTGTAACCAATCTTTGGGTGTAAGGCTGTGACCTTCTGCATGGCACCCTGGATCCAGGAGGATAGATCTGTCAGAGATTTGTCATCTTTGAGTCGGATGGATAGGAGGTCACTGAGAGAGTTGAAACAGGAATTGGGAGCAGATTTGCTATGAATAGATTTGAGTTTCTCCCACATTTCCTTTGGCTTGCTATGGATATCATCGACATGAATCTTGTTGGCCTCATCTAGCCATTGGTAGATCTCACCAGCAGCCTTGTAGCTGCATAGTACATATGCATTGTACGTGTCAATAGTTGCAGCATCCTTTTCACCAGGTGACGGTTGGCTGATAGGGGTTTCTGTGCCTTCTGCAATTCCAATGACACCAAGGGACATTAATTAACCAAATATGGACTTCTCCCAGTCATTGTATTTTACTGCACCAC